TATTTCGCTTAGTAACCTGCCATGAAAATTATAGAAGGCAGAAAACAAAACGTTAAACATTGTGATTTCAACTACAGCCATAGCTTAACTGGGTTCTATGCCGATTTGCGCTCCCCAGATCAACCCCGCTGACGGGTGATTGCTGTGGCAAAAAGATCTAATCTGATGATTTTCACCTCGAAGATAAGGAAGGCCGTGGACGTCCCAATGAACTTGACGACGAAGAATTGAAGACACTAGTAGAAGTGAACACGCGAGCAACTGTTGGATAGCTTGCGGAACACCTTGGCGTAAGCACAGAAACAATTTCCACTGTCTGAATAGCATAAGAAAGACAAGAAAAAACTCAACAAGTGAGTTCCGCACGAATTAAGCTATAATCAAAAAATCGCCGTTTTGAAGTAACGTCTGCTCTTATTCCGCGCAACAAAAACAACCCTTTTCTTGATTGAATTGTGACGTGCAACGAGAAATGGACTCTGTAGGACAACCGGCGACGTTTAGCTAAATGGTTGGATTGCGATCAGGCTCCACAGCACTTCCCAAAGCCGAAATTACGCCAAAAAAGGTTATGGTGACTGTTTGGTGGTCTGCAGCCGGTTTGATTCATCGCAGCTTTTTGAATCCGGATGAAATGATTCCGGCAGAAAAATATTGCCAAAAACTCGACGAAATGCACTGTAAACTCCAACAACAACGACCAGTATTAGTCAACAGAAAAGGACCAATCCTACACGATGACGCTCGGCCTAACCTAGCGGAATCCGCACTACAGAAGTAGAACGAGTTGGGCTACGAAACTTTAGGTTCTTCTGCCACATTCACCAGACCTCTCGCCTACCGACCATCACTTCTTCAAGCGCCTTGACAACTTCCTGATCCAGAAATGCTTCACCACCCAGGAAGGCGCAGAATAAGCTTCAACGAATCCATCGCTTCCCGAACTCCAGAATTCTATGACACTGAAATGTGAAGGAGGAGTGGTCCGTTGAAACGTCTGCTTTACCACAATAAAGAATGAAGTAATACCTCGTGTTTTCTCAACGAGAATTTGGGGTATTATTTGATCAATTCCGAGGTTAATATTGTAACATCCGGTTGCTCAGGAATAAATGAGCGTTTTTAACTATGTTATTTAAAATGACATAACTTGCTTCAAACAAAACTTTAATATTCAACACAAAATAAGTTGCTTCTTATTGGCAAAGATATGCGGATTCAAATGGTTTCAACGGACCTCTCCTCCTTCACAGCCTGCAAAGGTCAAGTTGATGCAATCAACCCAGTCAAATACTTCCATAACCAGGCAAAGAAAATGCTTAACTAGGATTTCAATTGAATTGAAAAAATAGCTTCTCCGCATACTCATTGCTTTTTATGGGGTTTCCACCGAGTATATCACGCGAAGACCAACCCCACTGAGTTTACATGGAAGCGTAATGTGCTTCCCACCTCAAAATTTCAGTTCCAAATACTAATACTTACTTGGGTACCTGGACGGTCAGTCCTCCCTAGTGTGCGGGCCCCAGCATGGTCTTTATTTTTCGGAGATTGCTGGCATAGCCATTGTGATTCCCTGGAGTACCCAAGTCAGTCAAACAAAGCCTTCCCCAGGCCGCCACCATCATAGGCAGTCCCCGCCTTTGTGGATCAGAGAGAGATTTGTCACCACGCGATCAGTTTGATAACCCGTCGGCGACAGATCCTGGTATTGATTTACTCTTAGCTGAGCTTCCTCGTGAAAACGCTAGTAGATCTTAGTAAGAAAGCATGCTCTAATACGACAACGTAAAAGATGAACTGACAGGTCTTTTTGGCATCAACAGACTGTATCAGCAGTTACAAATGCTCTGCGATCACTGAATAACGTTCGCGCTCGTTGCGAGGTTCAAAGCCAAACATGGTCATAGACTTTGACCATCAGCGACAAGGACGAATGTAAAACATGCTGTAACACTCGCTATTTATGAAGATAAACCACTTTTTTGGGTTTTCTCCAGGGCTCATACATCGAACTTTTGCAGTTTGCATTTATTTCTTTATTTTTTTGAGATGACCACCCGTTTCTGCTGTTTGCATTTTCAGAAGAAAGATACTCGAAGCGCTCTTCCTTAAAATCTGTCTCTGTTGACCGAATGGTGTCATGTATACCAAATCGATGATGATTTGGCTTTGATGCGATCAGGCGACATTCGGATTTTCTTTGAGTTATGATATAATCTCCTCCATATGCAGCACCAATCTTTCGAACTACTTTTGCACCACCACCCGTGGACAATTAATTGTCGGTGATGCTTTTTTTTAGTCGATTGTAGCTGCTTCATGTTCGGACTAGGAATTAGTTCTATGAACACTAAAATATTAAGCTGAAGTAAAATATAGAATTTCAAGAGAGGAACAGATTGGCATTCAATAACCAGTAGCAGATAGAGGCCATCTAATTGCAGCACCTAATCTGAGAGGAATGATACTCAAAAGTTTGTTGGAAAACCTCCATTTCGACAGAAGAGAGGGTTGTACGAGATTAGACACTTAATCGAAATTATGAAGAGAAACCCCAACACAATATGGGGTTCTAGAATGTACCTATGTTTTAGCGAATCCCTTGTGCTATTTAGAGAAAGGATCACCTCATGCCATTGGATTCCAGTGAGGTCCAAATGTCGAGTCAAGTTAATCAAACCGCTCTCGAGAAGTGATTACACATGCAATTTTTGTGTATACTGGTGGTGATCTTTATAATAACTAACTAAACTAAAGATAACTAAAAATAAGATAAATTGTGGTGTTTCAGCAAATATGTGACTCTCTAGATGAAGAAAGGCATCTGTACCCATATAATAAGTATTTTAGTTATTTCTTGGCCGAGGACTTATTGAGCAGAAGGCCCTGTGTTATAAGCTGCCGTAGGCTAAACATGAAGGGATTTTCCAAACATGTCGTCCACCAGATGCCAAGTAGAAGATATTGAAAAAAAACAACCAGCAAGTGCTGCGTTTGGAGATGAATTAACTGTCAAATGTTTGTCAAAACAGATTTTTTATGTTCACCATATAAAGATCGATGCTGGTTTCTTCCTCAAATCCAAAGATATCCCTATAACTGAAGAACTTGGAAACACGAGATAGACTTGTAAATCAGACTTCGCTACATTGTTCCAATGGTATGTACAAATACACTAAAGTTCATTTGAAGCCCATTTAGAGTTTGGGCTCTCAAAACCTCGACTGCCCGTTTTCACTGGGTACGCGGGCACCAGCACAATTTCCACTGCTTTCACTATCGCGCAAAGGTCGTCGATTGTGGTGATCTGCTTCGAACATGGTGTCGTCCACGAAGCCCACGTTGTTATCCTAAAATAGTGTTCGTCTGCAAAAGCGGATCGTTCACGTTACCCATGTACACATCCATCCATCTTTTGGGTGGATACCCAAGGACGCTTGCATTCTCATGGAGTCCACTCCAATGCTCTTCTCGTCCATTTGTTCATCTTATTATGTGCGCAAAACTCTCGAGGCATTCTGGATTAATTCCAGAAATCCGAAAATAAACAGCAGGGAAGAATACCTCATTATCACTCATGATATAGGGCAGTATATAAGACTGTTATTCTGATGCGAGAGGCGCATTATGCTTCCATGTGGTTTCTGTGCGGTTGGTCTTCACGCGACATACCTAGTGGAAAGCGGTGAGTGTGCAAAGCTGTGTTCAATGTGATTGAAATCTTGGTTTAGAGTTTCTTTGCTTGGTTATAGAGGTGTCTGGCCGAATAGATTGCTATCAACTTGACTTTTCCAGGCTCTGAGGAAGACGAAATCCGCCGAAACGTCAGCTCATTCGTGAATAAAGAATAATAACACCTCGCGTTTGCTCAACAAAAATACGAAGAATTACTTGAACAATGCCGACGTTAATAGAAAGTCGGTCGTGGGAGTCTCCAGTAAATCATTGGACTTAGAGGGAAGGTTTCCAAAAATGATATTCAGCGTAATAACCTCCGATGGACACATTATGGACTAGATTTAAAAAGTACACCAAAAAAGCTCGTTCCAGCAAACAATCGCCCAGATACAATAAGTTAGTAACAGCTCAAGTCCTCTGATCTATCCATGCCCATGCACATATGAATGTAAAACACCACTCGCTTTGAGTTCTAAATGTTATCGACAACTTCTAAACAGGAATCTTTAACAAATGGGTACCACAGGATGTCAAACCTGAAACGAAAGTGTCACCTATTCGACATCCAGTCTTTTCACGAGGATCCTCAGTGGACAAAATGACGCTCTTTGCGTACCTCGAGTGACCATATTCTACTCGATAGCTCTTTAAGGAACAAAGGAACAATGAATTCTTTCTCTATCCCAATTAATCGATTTTCAGTAATAATGCACTTGACGCAGTTGATTCTAACTATCATAGCGGTTTGCTTTTCATTCAAAATTATGCCCCGTCAAAAATTTCTTCAAAGTACTACAGCAAGGAACGGAACGTGAATTTACGCTTATTTGAAGATAAAATATTTAAAAAGGATGGGACTTTTCTTCATGAGTTCAGGATCTTTTAACACTTTCTGGGATCAGATGCCGAATTTAGTCCCATGCTTTTACCCAACTAGGAAAACAAACGGTAACAACACTAAAGGCTAGCACGTCGAAGCAGACGAACAGAAGGGAAGTTTAGAGTACGAATGAGAAAGACTGGTCATTTTGAGTCACGTCATCGAATTCCGTGTAACACAGTAAATAGAGCAGTCAGCTACCAACTTGACAGTAGGCAAGCAAGTCGCGCAATGAGCGCTGAGTTTAACTACAAATCAGCACTTCAGATTCAGAACTAGTGGACAGAATTAAAAGTCAGAGATAAAAAAGTATAGAATCACTGCCAATATTAACAGACCGTAGACTTAGCGGCCCGGAGCTTTGCAAATAAATATCCCAGATTCATTGTAGTTGTATTAAGTTTTATTATTTGCATGCAGTAAAACAAAAAACAAGTGATCACACGGCTTTATCTTCGCAAATGAAGTGGTCATACTCGTAGTCCTTTTCCGGCCAAGGCTCACTAAAATTTTAAAAAAGCGAATCCTTTTTCAATTCTATGAAATGGGTAACACTTTCGATGGGATAAAGATACGTAGTCGATCTTTGGAAATGCCGAACTCCAAGACCTACTCCAGAAAAACACAAACTCACTTCCGGCCGGCAAAAGTTAGATGTCGGATTTTCTCCGGTTGCTGTTCGGTTTTGACAAAGTTAATTAATATACCGATAATCATCATAATAATAAATCCCACACCGGCATAACCGTAAGTGGAAATCCTGAAATTCATGGAGAAAAAATTGAAGGCGTTCGTGCAAAGAGGTGGTAATGAGTGCTACCTTGATATGAACATGGTGTTCGGGTCGCCATAATGAGTGTCGTATGGCGGTTGGTGTCGAACTGTGAAGTTACTCGAACCACAACCCTCAATGCTGAAAGTACTTCGACTTTCCTTCGAAGAACTCTGCTAGCCTTCTTCTAAGGATAAAACAAATTTTTTTCAGAAATATCTTATCTACGAATGTTACAGATTTCTGAAATCCTCCTGTTTTTTCTCAAGATTTCTCTCAAGACAAATTTCTCAAAAGAACGGACCGTCTTCCGCACTCTCTGAGCAACATGAAAATCTGGCCAATCTGTACCTATACTCTTCCCCTTCCCCTCTAAGGAAGTACAGCATAGTGCTTCATTCAGTAATTCGTAGCTTCAAATTGGTGCAATCATTACTTGTGAAAAATGAGAATTTTTACTGCGCGATTTCATCCGCCAGCAATTCTACTATGTAAGGACACTTGCGCAAGAAATCTTGGCAGAGAGGGATCAACACGAAATCCACTGCAATCCGTTTCTACAAAACTGCTTATTGATGTTCTACAAAGTTTTTCTGCGTTCATTTCCGCTAAGGTGGCCGGCCCACCTTGAATTCGTTGGAAGAAAAACGTCGCGATAAGGATCTTCGACGTAGTTCGCTATGCAGATGAACACCATAGTAATGTTGGAGATGACGAACGACAGGATGCAGCTATAAAAGCCAGAACGAGGAAAAAACATCGCCAGCACGAAAATCCCCACTATTGGACCAGATATCGCTCCCAGCACACTCACGCATACCTGCCAAATGCACTTATTTCAGTTATTTTCTCTCTTTAGTAGTGGCTTTTTCAAGTTGAATTTTGTGAGTCAGTATTAAATTATTTATGATACTGCACTGTAGACTTAATCAAAGAATTTGTTATTATTTTATTATAGCATGAATATAGCCTAAAACCGCGTCAGCGATTTTGATTGTCTGAAAAGCGGCTATGAGACCTCATTAGAACACAAATACCTTCATTCTGCGGTAGGTAAACTTTTGCCTACGCCTTTTCCACTTGTCTGTGAATGTAATAGAAAACATTTTTCTAGGGGCAAAAATTTACTTTGTGCAGAAGTGCTCTAATCTCACAGTGGCACCAACAGCGTTGTGGAGTACGTAACCCGGAATACGGTAGATGTTTTTACCCTAGTTTTTATGAGGAAATTCTACATTGAACTAAGTGTTGGACTACTCAGACGTAATGAAAAACCGTTACCCGCAATATCCCTCCTAGGGGCGCAGCAGAAAATGCTAATAGCGTCGAGGTGATTCCGCACGCAACAACGACCGCATGAAAACATTCAGACTTACGAAAAACTGGACAGAAACCATAAAAATCTTGAGTTGTGTCTATTTATTAATTCTGCTATTATTACCTTATTAAGTAGTGTAGCCTTTCCATCGGTGATTCGACCGTCTAGTTTCTGCTTCAGAAAATCCTCATAGATCGCGGCTGCCACACTGTTCATTCCACTGGACAGGGTGGACAGCGTGGCTGACATAATGCACGCTACATACAATCCAAATAATCCCGGTGTTGGTTCTGTACGATAAATCGATGGAAAACGGATGCAGCGTTTGTAAATGCGTCGTTTTCTATATCAGCAATCGCGAGATTGTTATACAGTTTACTTCCCTACGAAAACAATGCCTTCCACTTTGCTGTACCGAAGTAGACGTATGCTGTATAATAACGATGCGACTGATGAGGAAGAAAACGACGCATTTATAATCCAATGTCGAGGTTAACATTAGAATGTCGATCCTGGCAATGCTTGTATTTAATCAAACTTGTTTCGATTAAGAGGAGAACACAGACAGCTGTTAAACAAGTGTACAGCTCTTCACACTTCTGAAGAGTGAGCGGTAAACTTCTCACAGAAGAACGTTTCTTCAGAAATCCCTAAGTTATGACTCTTCAATAGTTTGCATGCCTAGAAACATTCTAGTAGGTTTATGTAGCTAAGCGACACATCATGAACATATAGCTATTATTTATCGTAGTTGAATATCAATTACATTATATTACTCTTTATTAAACCTTGGAAAATCTTGATAACCTTTCCTACAAGCCATTAATTTAGCTCACCATTCACTCAGCTCAGTTGTCATCTGTTTTACATCTCCCATCTAACGCTTGTATATCCATTGCATCATTATTCATGCATAGCTACTACACGTATTCGGACTCATTTAACTTCGGTATTAGTCTCTTATTCTCATATTATTCAGCTGAAGAATTGCACTCGCTCACCAGTTTATCACCAATTTTCTAAAACAAAAACTATATTAGATTAGATTCGCTCACTTCACTACCAAATAGACTTCGCACACCATCTGTTTCTCCCATTTCACGTTGATTATCGCTCATATAGGGCGCTTGTGGCGCAGTGGTCGGAGGTGCCCTGCGACACACAAGTGGAATCGATCTCCGCGCACATTGCCCACCAAGCCTTCCATCCCTTCGAGGTCGGTAAATTGATACCAGACTTGTCTGAGAGGATAGCAGCACTGGCTCGATACATCGGTATGCCACTGCGAGTCATTGTAAAAGCCAGATGTACATTCCATCACATCCAAACGATGCTTAATGAAGTAGAATGCGTGGCACATCCCTAAAGGGATTGATCAACGCTGAGAGCTTAATCCTTATCCCTTTATCCCTCATATAACCTTTGTATATTAATTACGGTGTATTATTATCGTGTATTCGCACTGAATACATTGGTAAGGCTTTAATTAAGCAACTATGAAGTTGCTTCGGTACAGATGAATACAAGTCCCTCGTGGCACTCGCGAAAAGACGAGAATTGAGATCTGTTGCTCAACCAGTACAATTTAGAAATCCACTTTAAGCGGAACCGACACTACTCGTGGAAGTACAATGTACTACTACAATGTACTACTACAATGGAAGTACTACTCGTGGAATATTAAACTCACGTAAAATGTCTTTGGCGAATAGAATGGTAATATGATCCGTCTCCAGAATCTGACCAGTCTCCAGTGGATTACAATTGTAGAAGTAAGCTAGGGCGATGAGTCCTATGAAGGCAACGACCGAACAGAGAATGAAAAACGGCACCAGAGTGTAGTAGATAATTTGCTGCAAATACGTCGCACATCATAGAGCGCAAAAATAAAGTGAAAAAGCCTTATTAATGATATAACTATGAAAATGTGATCACTTTTGATTTTTAATTTTTTAAGTTGGAGCTGTAGCACAAATGCACAATAAAATAAAGCACAATGTAATGACTTTTATTAAACGAAGGACACACATGATGTGGTAGTGAACGCATTACTCCCCGGAAAGGACAATAGCGCGTTCATTCCCCGCAGCAAACAACCGCGGTCCGGAGTTTTGCAAATATTTCAGCATCATTGTGGTTGTATTTCACATCATCCCCTGCTGTGAAAAAAAAGAATGGACAGCAAATAAAGCATGACTACATTGTGATTTACACTACAGCTTCAGCTTAACTGAGTTCAATGCCGATTTGTGCTTCCCAGATCAAACCCGTTGACGAGAGACTGCTGTTCGCCCCTGCAGAACAACGAAAATGGTTTAAAATTGGCAATTATTAGAATTATGTCGCAAAGGAGCATCTCCTGTAATGGGCAGTTTTCGCTAAAATTAAAGACCATTGGAGAAATGAGAGCCTAAGGTGCTCCTAGTGTTAACGAGAAGGATTGTGGCCTAACGAAAACTACACATCCAAGTAAGAATAAGAAGGATGAAGGTCTACAGTCAACCAATCCCTGAAGGATGCGCCGCGATTTCGGCTTCATTAAGCAAGCAGAGAGGATCGAAGAAAAAACGCTAAGCATTAATATGAAACAATGCAAAAAAACAGAAATTTATTCATTACCTGTGCTTGCTTCAGTGTGGGAAGACTAGCATACCGCTGAATAGCGAGCTGATTGACGCCGAACGATGCCACCCAGGTGATCGTGCCCGACACCAGGTTTATCCACACACTGTTGTACTGAATCATTTAAGCGCTGCTTTATTAAGAATGTGTTTCTTGGTTAGCTACTAGCCTTTCTTAAATTGGACTACCTTTAAGGCATGTGAAAGCATAAGCCCAACTTTTCGCGTTTAGTTTAGGGGCGCTGAATAGCTGGACCGGTATAGCAATTCGACTTCACTCTTTATTCTACTTCTTTTTCTTTCTTTACCCAATACTCAGAGTGCTAATATTAAGCCACACTCATATTCATAAATCATGTAGGTCCAATGTTAATTTCAAGTTTGTTCGTCACAATGGCTTCAGTTCAAAAACTAATTTGCCCCCACAAATACTTCTACACACTCAACGCCTTAACGAATCATTAAGGGAACGATTTTAAACTTTAGTATGGTATATATGATATGACGCATCACCTGGCGCCGTTTTGATCGTCGAGCTACTCGCGCGGGCACCAGGAAATCTTTCATTTTTCCCTGCCGCGTAAAAGAATATCCCATTGAGTCCTGCACGTTTTAAGGACTTGTTGAGATTCATAACTTTCTTCTAGGCTTTTCTTGAAGAACTCTGACCATGGGGTTGGTGGTCTTTCTACAGTACGTTTGAAATCCTGAAAAATCCAGTCAGTGATGGCCCCTCTCCGTCGGTTGTCGTTTATATGCAATATGTGTCACGCCCATCTTATTTTCGACAGTTTTGCGCTCAGCTTCGGATCCCTTCCCTCACTTGCAGATGCTGAATACACCTACCATCATCTATTCGACTGCGCCTTCAATAACACTGATCTTCCCTGCTGTTAACACAGCGATCAGGTTTCTAATGCATGCGTTAAGGCAACAAGAATCGTGGAGTCGGAATGGTGTACACCAAGTCGAGTGTTCTTGTTCTCCTTAATACATCTCTAATGTTCTTGGAAGTTCCCTAAGCCGCTCGTTTCCTTCTGCTCAACTATGAAGCTAAATTGCTCATCATGTTGATTTTCCGACATATATAGACGTAAATGGAGCATTCGGATACACTCATTCCATTTAGCACTTATGGAGCATACGTAACCAACCTGTTACTCATGAACACCGTTTTTGCGAGATTTAGTCCAACATTGATCCCTCCACAGATTCTATCAAAGTGGGCAAGCATTCGTTCCCCTCAGTTGATGTTTGGTTTTATAAGAACGACGTCATCAGCAAAGCAAAGGTGTTGTAATTGCCAACCATCGATTTTCGTTACCACGTTGCTCCTTTCCAGTGCTCCCATGACGTTCTAGAGGATGGCGGTAAGTAATTTTGGCGATCGTGATAACCATCTTTCTTGGATAATTGCGCAGTCTTTTTGGTCTTTCATTGAATGGGATTGTTGAATTGTGACCAGTAATATGCGAAGAGCCGGACTCGTGTACCGAAGAGGACCGACAGACGTTTTTTCACCTATTCATATCTTATCTCCCGTGGACCAGGTGTTTTTCGATTTTTCACCGACGAAATAGAATGTTGGAATTATTGTTGATGGCAGTGTTAGGTAGAAAACCAGCTGATAGAAACGCCGAGCAAGGGCCTCCGTGGTGTTGGGTGTAATACGCGAGTCCCGGAAAGGTCAATCGTGGTTTTATCTGGCTCGGGTCCAAGTTTTGCAAATATCTCAGCATCGCTTTGGTTATATCTACCACATCGGATTTCAGAAGGGAAGACCAGTGGTACGACATATCCATCCTCCTTTGTTTCATATGAGAGCAGGACGACGTGGCAATTATAGACTCGATTCGTGTAGTAATCGTGGATGATTTTAGCTATTGATTTTCTGGAAGCTGTAACTGCTCCGTCTAGGAGTCGGAGTGCAATCACCTCGGTTGTGCAATTGGGGAAGCTTCGGCGGGTTTTGCAAATGCTTTTCTCAGCCTCGGCAGCATACCATAACTGTTGCTTTTCTCTCTTTAAGATCTTCTTTTATCATCTGTCTGCACTATCTAGCAAGTTCGGAAATGAGTTTGAGGTTGCCTGTAGCACCTACGATTTCATGTTGGTGTATTAGCTCGAGTGTTTCTGGAAACAGACGCCTTTTTGGCGATTTTCCAACTCTCAGCTTTCATAGCGATAGCGTGCAGATATTGATTGAGCCGATCGTATTTCTCTTTGTCGATTTTACCAAGAACGGCACCTTCCCAACGCACGTCTAATGCAGTGCAGGCTTATGGAAGCTTTGAGACTTCGTTTCTTTAATTCAGCAGCATTTTTCCTTCCCGCGAGAAATAAAATCTTGCATGACAATGCGATGGTCTTATCCCACGTAGAATATTGGAACAACAGCGGCATCGACTGGATAAATTCTTCGACTTACTGTGATGTGGTCTATTTCATCATGATACTTCCCATTCGAACACCCCACGCACAACGTTAAGTGTGGGACTTCTGGAACTGTGAGTTACCATGAATTGGGTCATCATGATTAACTCAGACAGCCGCTCACCCTCTCCGTTCCATTTTAGACGTACATCTAATTATAACGTTCTTCCGGGTCCAATATTAGGGCTGAAATCTCCAATGATGGCATTAAAAAATGCTTGAGGTCTCCCCACAGAACTTCGGTGTAGAAGCTTTCTTCTTCATCGTCATAGCTTGAAGTTGGCGTGTAGACGACGAAGGTTGTCAAAGATGGTTTTGACTGACGTCCATTTATTCGTAAAGGTCCCATTCGGGTTGTTAGTTCTCCAAATGAAACTATGTTCATAGCCAAACCCGTGTTGACGAGAACGCCGACACCATCCACTCCACTGTCCCCGAGGAAGAGTTTTTTTCCGGTGTAATAAACGAAGTATAAGACGCATTCTCATCTAAGCCAGTCCGATGATGTCGTGCCTTATCCTTCTTGCCTGCATGATCAGGTTTTCTATTAAAGACTCGGATGCAAGTGTGCATGTATTGAAGGTACAGATACATCTTAGCTCTTGGCGATTTAAGCAGCCTAGAATAGCCCTGAGATTTCAGCAGCTCCCCCGTGCTCATCCTAGCCAACGCTGATGTATCGGGGGCTCTTCCGGCGTCAAAGAAATGAGGCTCGATTATTTTACTCTGTTTAGCTTTTCCATACCCGTATGGCTTTCTGAGCACTGGATATAAGGGCCGGATATACTCACTGGTAATGCGCCAGTCTCTCTCAGAACAGACAGGGAGCTTCTTCGTTGGAGGTCCTAACCGTCTACCATATACTTCATTGTTTCTTGCTCGCAGACTTTTTGCCGAATTGATTCGTAGAGTACAATCGGCATAAACGAGAACACACCCACGCACACCTGCACAAATACGTCCTCGTGATTACAGAGGGTATGTGTCAAATCGGCGCAGCAGAAACATGGAGTCCATTTCATGGATCTACGCGCATCTCAGGGAAGCAAAGATCGCTTTTGGCCCGCTACTAACCCTCTATCCGCTATTTCGGGATTCCGCGTTATCTCGGGAATAAGCGGTACGAGATCCCTCTATAGGAGAGATCAGTGACAAGTCGTACCAACTATTAATTTGCGTTTTTGTATAACTTTCGAAGGACGAGATAAAGAGGCTGATGCATGTAGTTGTTACTCATCGAGAACTTCATCCGATAGTACCACCTGTATCACCAACAGGTCCGTTAATTATTAAATAGTTTGAAACTACCCACGTTCAGGGGAAAGAAACGAACGGTGCTACACTGTAGTTGCGATGCCCTTTATGTTTTATTTTAGGTTTTGGCAAGAAACTAGCCGACGGCCACACTGAATTCTACATAAGCACAATTAGACTTATGAATGGAAATACCAAACCCTTTGTAAGATTGGATGACACTGGAAGATAAAATCCTTGCTATATACCACAGTTCAGCACTCAAGCACAATGACAACAACGGTCCGGCGGTAAGCTATCGGTGAGTTGAAGAGATATGAATATATGTAGCAGGTAGTAAGCAATAAGTATGTTTTTCTCTGTGAAAATAACAAAGCGATCCGTTAACGTCAACCATGAGAAAGCAAAGAGTTTGTCGTATTTCAAACAACAACTTTTCGTACACATTTAATGTGTTAAACTAGGGAACGAGAGACGTTTTCATTGCGAGGGCTCATCAGTTGACCGGAGCAAATATATTCGCTTGCTAATATCTGGATAAATCTAATAGTTGAACTCTTTGGCCTTACTACCTCAATGGATTTGCTCTTTCAGTATACACATAAATGTATTCATTCATATATATTAATGATCAACATTACTAGAAGTGGTGCAGACGATTGGCGAGTTTTAGAACACTGATTGGAAAACGATCACTACCTGGTCGATTCGTGGATCGAATCTGAAGAGTTCGCTTGTTCTTCCGCTTTCGACGGCGATACGCCAGACTCTTGCCAACCCTCCGACCTTTGGATGCCGCAATCCTTGTACTATCAGCGTGAAAACGCCACCGTACATAAGAACAGCCTATTTAAACAGCAGTAAAAGTGAAGAATACTACTTTCATTAAGAGACAAACAGATAATTCTGTTTGAGAAAACGGACAATAGACACGAAACAGGAACAGCTCTGGCAACTTTGCAGACCTGTAATGAGTCGCTCCAAACCACAGCTTTCAATCCACCAATGCAAGTGTAAAGCGTTGTGATAAGACCGAAGATCTGAAAACTACTTCAACCTATGGAGATTCATTAAAATAGTCAAAACTCTCCACTCTCACTTACCAATACCAACCACCATTTGTGGATTCGCAAAACCGGTGACAGCGCTACTGCTGGAGCGTAGATCACTATTGACATGTACATGATGATGAAACAAAGAAACAAGGAAGAGAAGAGCTGACGGATAAGTGTAGAATTGTACCTGAAGGAAAGGAGTTCTTGGCGAAACAACGCGCAATTTCAGCGTGAAAAATGTCTTCTTATCGGATTAAATCATCGGATTCGAGCTAATCTTTATATGCTTTTTTAACGGCGTAGTTCCTTCTCAATGCTCAAAAGAACTTTGTCCGATATAATTTTCTAGGAAGGTACTTGGCTACTTGAATGGTTAGTCTTCACTAATAGTGAGGGCTCCAGCATAATTTCAGTTCTTTTCCCTCTCGCGCAATTGTCACCCGTGGTAATGGCCCGCTTTGAATTTGGCGAAGTCCGCTAGAGCCCATTCCGTGATCCTGAAATAGTTCCCATCTGCGAATGCAGATGGTTGACGTTAGCTACGAATACGTTGGCTCATCGCTTGGGTGACTGCTGTCATATTCTGTTTTTATTATGTGACGTGCCCGTTTCGGTTTCACTCTCGATGAGTGTTTTGGTGGAACCCAACAATGAGATAGGTTTCGATGATCTGAGCTGCGCATTCCGGCTGTACGTCGTAAGAGCCGCCTAGATTTAAGAAAACATTGTTTAAGCGCTCTTTAGATGCTACGGTGTCTCCTTGACGTAATTGAGGTATCACCCTACGTCTCTGCCGCATAACAAAGAGCCGAGAGGAATGTTGAATAGAAAAGGTGAGCGCGGAGTTTTTGGTCCGTCATCAAAAAACCATCCTATTCAATTTGTTTACCTTCGAACCGCGGGTTTCTCATAAACTGAGTCTACGTCCCATTTGTGCACAGTCCAACCTTTTTTTCTTCCTTTGCATGGTTCATTGATCAACGCTTCTGCTCCACTGATATTTGCCTAGAAAATGACAATGCCATCCATGAAATGATGATTTGATAGGGATTTTCGATCAATACCTATGTCCTTCTCGCCCCCATTGCTTGACTTCGTTGCCCACTACAGTAGAGCTCCAGACAGCCTTGGCGATACGGTGCCGCCCTGTCGAACCGCTTTCCTATGGGTGTTTGGTAAAAGGGCTGTACATTTGTGCTCCAACTGGGATAACAGCCTGCTGGTGTTCGTATGTAGCACGGGTCCATCTCATGGTCCACATGCAATGATAACACTGCATTCGTTTCGATGCTATCGAACGCTTCCTAGAGCTAATAATGGTTAACACAAAGGGCAATTGGTGTTTCCGACAGATTTCCATGACCCGTGACACGGTTTGCGTGTGGTCCATACAGCAGAATCTCTTTTGGAATCCTGCTTGCTCAAATGCAGCTTGTAGAGTGCACTCAATAAGCATATTGGACAGTAGTTATAATGATAGTTTCAGCCACCACTGTTGGGTGGAACATTTTTTGGACTGCTCGCTGAACCTTCTACTGGTTTCGAATTTTTTCCTCCTGAAGGTTAAAGGCTGTCATAAAATCCACAAAGGCGGTCTGGTAGTGAAGGGTTGCGAATGCCCTGCACAGTTATCCCGGAATTCGAGAGAGAATCCACCCAGCTAGTACACAACGATATTCATGAAAAAGATTAAAATTTCTATAGCAGCAACCAAAGTGTTACGCCGCGAGGTATGAACCTAACCTCCCACTTAACCTCGTGATTCGATAAGTGGAGACACTCTAAGACCACCTAAGACCGCTGGATATATATATATATATATATATATGCACAAAGAACAAGTGTAGTATCAAAATACAGTGGTGTCAAAGCATTAAAAATAGAGTATAAGCCGACCAAAATAAAATTTCTGTTTTATCACTTGCATAAACTCCTCTTGAATTTCTACTTCTTAAAAGTGTCACCACTTTTACAAGTATTCTTCAGCCTATGAGTTCGTCGATCAGGTGAGTGCTATTCCTGAATAAACTGACCTGTGTATGAAATACTCGTGAAGACAAGTGCATTTCATTTTGTGGAAGACCGGTAAAAATACTGAGCTGGTAATCAAAGACGATAGCATGCCGACCACAAAATTCAACCAAATTTGGACGCCTGAAATGAACTTTTCATGACTACGGTGCGGCCTGAGAATCATCATAGCTTAAGTTGGAATTATTGATGGTTCTAGAGGCTTTTTTTAAATTAATGACTTTTATCATCATATTCTTCCTTGAACGAACCAAAACGACGGTCTTTTAACACCTGCTCATAGTTTGCCAATAAATAGGCATTAATCATTTTAGTACAGTTCGTACCATAATTGCCTGGACGAAGTAGGCGTACTGTATCTTGCTCATTCAGAGCAAACAACATAATCTTTAAGCAAAACAATGTTTGTTTCACACTAAGCGACGAAATTTCAAAGATGTCCTTTTTGCATTGATGCGAGCCTCCCTCGGACAATCCTACTGCAATGCATACTGTTGTATCATATTTGTCCCACGTATTCCCTAAAGCAGTCTACGAAGAGTTAAGGATCATCCAGGAAGTAATACCTGGTTTCCTCCCACTGATTGATTACATATAGTGGTCGAGAGGCAGAAGAGCATGATTTCGTGGATGTTGTCACAACAGGAAAATATTATCTGCACTATTTATGAATCATGGACTTGTGCCCAGAAGTAGATAATCCGGCCACTACGACCCAAACATCGCCAAAACGACATTATTCAATATTTTCAACCAAATTTCGCATAAAGTTCTAGGAACTAACGAGCAAAATATAGGTTTTTCGATGTAACTCCTTTGTTAGAGTTTCAACTTTTTATCAAATTTTATAAGCAACAGATAATGCCGAGGAAGCAGGGAATCGTTGTACGCGTTCCCTCTAACTGTACAGGATTTCTGTTGTGCAAAACAGGACATTTGTGATCCTCCAACCAAAACATGGCTGATTTATATTTCTCAGACCTTTCTCTGTTGGGCCCAGGGTTCCTCCACACATGGACTAGTTGCTCATGAATCAAATGAATGTGGTGAAATAGTATTGTGAGAGAGAAAAATCTTTGTCCTGTTTCTGAATATAAGCTCGGTCAGACTCATTGCAAGCAGATCTCCAAAAAAAGCGTTTCTACCACCCCCATCCACGTTCATCATGCTAGCTCCACCTTAACTGTACCCTATGTTCTAGTTGAAATAAATCTACCATAAACGAGTCGTGTTTCACAGTAATCACCGTGAACAACGACATTGCGGACCAGAAGACAGGTAATGAATTCGAAGCTACTTTGAGATTCTAAAGGAAAAGTTTAGCAATTCATAAAAATGCCGTAAAAAAGCGATAATTGTTAGAACTGCTCCTTACAAAAACTTAGGTAATAGTTCAAATCAAAGAGAGTTTGTGGGTAAAGACAGGAAAGAATAGCTCACAACTGATGATTGTAAAATTACCATTGCTCATGTCAGACCCTCGGATGTGATATTGAATACGTGAAAGATTGCACGAAGATATACTTTTCCATCGTAAATCTCTATTCTGATAAATGTTTTGCTGGATGAAAGAGGTAGGTTTCATAAAAAAAAAAAACGGTAGTGAAAATCCGAATGACTGAGCAGTCGGACAGAGATACCTCAAATGAACCTATTCTTTTCAGTTTATGTCTAACTGATATGTCAGATAGCGTTAATAAAAACTAAAGCCCCAAAAACGAATATATGGATCTTTGTCTTGTTTTCCTCTCCTAAAGTTCTCTCTCTCACCGATCTAATAGCCATATACAAACCTCTCTGAAACATTTCAGCTGGAACGCCAAGCATGAGTATGCCGGACAGAAAGGTGGTCAGGAGCGAGAGCGCGACCGGGATCGGCGGCATCCGATGTCCTCCCATCAGATACTCGTCCTTCGCCGTCGACTTGGCTTTGCCACTCCGAAGCAACAAGCGGCTGCTGAACGGAGTAGCTTCACTTCCGGCATTTAAGTTCACCTCTTTCAGATCTTTGAGAAATGACTGTTTGCTGAGGTTTTCAGTCAGGAATACAATTTTAGCCGAATGCTAAAACAAATTCTATTCTAGAACGCTTAAATAACCTCTTGCTTGTATAAAATGTTGTGCTAATTCGTTTGTCGTTTGTGTGTTCGTCATAATCACACAAAATTTCAAAAAATGAGTCAGAGACTAATGAGGAGTAAGGATACCACCGTTGCATTAAGGGAAGACTGACAAAAAAAGGAAATATTTAAAAGATTAACCAGAAAACTGGTTGAAATTCCAAACCTGCCTTTTGCTTTTGCTTCGCTTCTAACGGAAGCAAAGCATTATCCCTTTTGTTTGCATTGCGATCTCTCTTCGATGCCTGACTCATCAACATTTTCACTACTTATTTCCTTATTAGGCATCAAAAGTGCAGCGGTTATACTTGGATACCTGGACGGTCCGTCTTCACAACTTGTGCGGACCCCAGCACATATGCCATTCGTTTCTTCCTCTCGTAATCGTAGTTCATAGTGGTGGTCTTGTTCGAGCATGGCATCGCTTGCGACTCTCATACCGTGGTATGTAAAACATACTGAGGCTGCGGGTACAGCTGATTAACTTTGTTTACGAGCACATACGCCCAAAGTGTAGGTGCTCGTCCATGAGGACGTTTGTATTCTCCCGGAGTCCACTCTACTGTTCTTTTCGTCCATCTGTCGTCGGCTCTTCTCATTATGTGACCGGCCCATCTATGTTTCGCTGT